AGAGTTATACAACCCATGTCCAAATGAAGCCTAAGCTCGGTTCAACTACTAGACAACAACACATTTTCACACCCCTTTTTTTTAAAACAAAACCAAAACGAGTGATAATTCCAAGCAATGCAAAAGCCAAATCTTTACCAAATCTCAAAGCCACTTTAAAAGAAAAACAAAACTATGGCAGCAAACGAAGAAGACCAGAGAACATGGGTGACCAAAATCATGGAGGAAAGGAATACAAATATGCGTTCTCAAAGCTCAAATTCAACCTTTGCAAATCTCGTGTGCAACCACTCCTATTTGTTGTGCTCCCTCGATCTAGTGTCAGGTTCTCATCCTTTCTCTCGATTCTCGGTTCAGTTCAGATTCAATCTTCCTCTTCTTCGTTTCTATATTCTGGTTCTATTTAATTTGAGATTTGGGTTTGATTTTAGATTGGGGATTTTTGTGGAATTTGGAGGTTTTTTAGGTTAAAGAAGATTTGACGGAATCACGGATATCTTGAGGCTATTGCTGTTGTGGTTTAAAATGAATTGAGGAAATGTGTTTTTGTTGTTTGAAGAAGAGGGAGGTTCAGGGAAAGGGATGAGCGGATGAATCATGAAAGAATGAAAAAAGAACTTGTTTTTGTCATGCGTGACCCCATGTGCGGGTCCTAAAAATTTCTTCCTCTCCGTGGAATATTCTGTTGGCTCCTTTTATAGGAGATTTTAAAGGGTATTTTTGGGATGGATTGAGAGGGAAGATATGTTGCTGATGCCATGATTGTCTTGGTCCGTGTTTTGCAGTTTTATTCGTACCAACGTTTTGCGCTGCAGGTTAGTGCATTCTAGTTCTTTTCTTGGTACCATGTGAGAATGTTGCAACTCACGGTGGTATTACGTGGGCCATGATAAAATTCTTGATTGTTGGGTCACAATTTTTACTTCTTCTTTTGCTGCGGAGTTGTGAATTTTGGCTGTCAATTGTTTTATATGGCATGCTGTTATGATGGAGGCTGGTGTATGGGCCTTTGCTGTGAATTGTGTGGCTTTGGGAGATATATCATGTGCCGAAAATTTGCAGGACTTTGTTGTGGCTTCATGAAAACTTGGCTTGTGAATTATTTTGGACTTCATGTCATATGTTGTATTGATCCATAAATATTTGTGGTGATGTAGTGAAATATGGGCAGCATGAAGTGTGATTAGGAGTTTAAATCATATATATATATATATATATATATATATATATATATATATATATATATATATATATATATATATATATATATATATATATATATATATATATATATATATATATATATATATATATATATATATATATATAAATGTATTTTTTTTCTTCTAAACATGGGCCTTGTATTGAATGGAGCATTTGTGGGATTTTTTTTTTGTAAATTCTTGTAATGGACTTTCTCCTAGATAGTGGGCTTTTTGGTTGTAGGACTTTTTGTTGAGTTTTTTTTTTATTGTAATGAAAACATATTTTGTACACACACTTTGTACATTTTTGGACTATGTAGTATTATAACATTTATGTGGATTTGGATAGAATGGAAAGTATGTGATGGACTCGAATGAATTCCCGAATTATATCCACAAATGCACGTTTTGACTATATCTGAAGCATGACTCACAAATGCACTAAGAACTAAACCTCAACAACCTTCGAGTAGCTTCTGAGAGAATGAATCTTGAAGTAATCTGGATCTTTAGACGCATTAGAGTCTTGAGACAATAAAATCCCTTGAAATCAGTAGAACATGACCTGATGTGAACTACTTGGTCCCAAAGTCCTGATTGAAAATGAATTAATCCTTAAGGATCACAAAGCACTGATAACTTGGTACATCCTAATAACTTGACCCATACACCAACTAGTCGAATCAATTGTACCCACACTTTCCTTGATCATGAAAAAGAACCCTCGCCTGACCAAAATTAGGTCAGGACCACTTGAATTGGAATAAACATCAAACACACACACCTATCTTAAAAAACCTCTAACAGACCCCAATTGACACTTGCTTCAACCCTACTTAAACTTGCAAAAAACTCTGTACCTGGACCAGAAGCAGAATCACGTATTATATTTGAATTTTCTAGATAATGGTTGGTGAATAGATATACAGGTAGGACAAATTTGGGGTGTGACATCTGGACTCTGATCAAATGTAAACTAAGAAAATGAAAAACACAATTCAATCCTCCTTCTTGTGTACTTTTCTCACCTTCAGAATTTAGGTACCGTGGTATGCCAAAACGTGTCTTAACGCTCTTGATACCACATTGATGTATTATAAAATTGGCATTCCAAAACATGGTCACCAATATCTGAATACTATGTAAAATGGGAAAGATAATTGTGATGAATACAAGAAGGAAGCTGTAATAAGCCAAAAGAGAAGAAATAATTATGGAATATGAATAAGAAGAATATGAAGCGTACGTTGAAAGTATGATTATATAATAGGTTCATCTTGTAAAGAATTGTCAGAATCCAAAGTATTTCCCAACGATTCTTCATCGTCTGAAAAAGCATTTGCCTCTAGCGAAAGAAGTAGTTGCGGTTGTATCTACAATACTTGTATGAATTGAATGAACATGGTGTCTTTCAGAATCTATAGTGTCGTGGATGGTGTTAGGATATATAGCAACATTGTCATTTTCATTTGAAAGTGAGTTTATGAAACGGTTGAACAAATTAACTCCATCATGTGAGTGAAATCCTTTTTCGTTTGTTACTTGAACTTGGTGTGTTATGCTTATCAGATGGGGCAGTGTTAGAAACATTTGTAACATCTGTTAATCGTGTTGTGCGTTCAAGTACATATTGGTGATCATTGATAAATACATAAGTTTTTGGTATGTCTTTTCCATATTCGTTGCTAGTACCGATTTGTGATCGTTTTCCATGTGATTCCATAAGTTTCCTTCTTTTCCTATCATTGGATGTAGGAGATAGATTGTTATGCTTAGGTTCCATGAATTGTTAAGTTTAGTTTACAAAAAGTATTTTTGTAGGGAAAAGCAGTTTTCAGGTGTAATGTTTTCCAATGAGCTGAAACCTTAGCTGTAGTGTTGATAAATTTAAATTTGGTGGTTTACATTTGAAACTGTTGATTCAAGTAGCTTTTGTATGAATATTTTAAGCTTGTGTGGAAATAATATTTTTAATTTAGGAAGTCCACGTAGAGGTTAAACGGGATTGCAAAGTTGAATATGAATAGACATATTGTTTCTACAATGCCGGTTATGTACTTTGCAAATATATAATAAAAATATAGAGATATATGTTGTACTGCAAGGCTGTGATGTGATTTCGAAGACACTAGGGGTGGAAAAATGGGTCGCCCGCCCCGCCCTGTCCCACAAAAAGAAGCGAGGCGGACAAGCTTGTCAAGTGGAAATGAACATAAAAATCTAGCTCGCCCCGTCAAGTTGGTGGGTGGCGGGCTTGCCTACCTACGTTTTTATTTATTTATTATTCATATTTTTAATAGATTAATATGCTTGTTTTTACATTTCAATTAGATTTTTCACTTATTTTTTAGAATAATTTTTATAAAGCATTTTTTTAACAAATTTTACTTAAAAAATTATTGCATATATTCTCAAATAAATCTAAAAAATAAAACAATCAAGAATTGGAATTACTAGGATTAACTAAAAAGGGGTGGGTTTAAGGTGGCATAAGCTGAACGAATAGGTGCGGTGGGCTTTTGCGGGTGACAGATTTTGGCGGAACGGACTTTGGCGGGTGGCGGTCTTTAGCGGGGCAGACTTTGGTGGACGGCGAGACCAAAATCTCAACCTAACCTGCCATACTTTGCCACCCCTAGAAGAGACAATTGCTTGAAAATATTGTTAAACAATACATGGGAAAATGGCGTGGATATGGACCAAAGCCACCAATGTAGATGGTTTTGTGTCTTAATAACCGCGATATTTTATTATTTTATGCTGCAACAGGCTATTTTCTAGTCCGCATGTGATGATGTGTAAGTTGTTACATCAGAAATTAGAACTGAACTGAACAAAAATTAAAGCAAAGTCTCACATTAATTCGAAGAAATCTACTCCGGGTGTTCAAAATTTCAACACATTACATGGGAAGCGTTTACAACATTACTACTAAACACATTCTGGAATGTAAAACAAATAATATCTTTGTTGTTAAATCCATTAAAGTTTAGACATGTCATCCATCCTTGACGCAGTTTGAAAAAATGAGGGTCCCTGTTTTGATAATCAATCCAACATGTAACAGGTTGGTTGGAAGGTCCCACCAAAATTAGAGTGGTGTATTGATGGTCTCCAATGATCTTCGATAATTCTCTATTCAATTTCTGTAATTACATAATGTTATCAGCTGTGAATATAAAATAAGCTGAATTACTATAAAGGGAAATCAATAACTGTTGAATATTCACCAGAATTTTGGATACCGCTTCTATTTGTATGGCTAGAAAGAACGATTTTAAATGAAAGTTTAGTTGAATCCGATGGTGCCAGAGTGTGCTAATAAGAAAAATTAGAATCACACTTTTCGTGGTCTAGATCCGGAACCCTAAAAAACAATCTATTCTCGAAATATTGTAGATGGAGAATATTAAACTTGAATGGAAAATCTACACATTAAAGTATCCTAATCCATCCTAGAGTAAATAGTGGATCCGTAAAATCTCGATTCCATTCAACATGAAATTCATACAACCCGTCATACAAGTTACACCGCGTAGATTTTCCATTTAAGTTTAATATTTGAAGTAAAGCAAGAAAGATTTTTAAATAATAAATCCATGTTAAAATTACTATATACTTTTCCTTTTACAAAAGAAACAAGAGAAATCAACTTTCCACAAGAAATGCTTTACAGATTCCCACTCTTAGTGGATAACAGGCAATTTCCATTTGTTTTGCCTTTTTCATGATTGGTATTCAATCAGTGTCGTTTTCTTCATCTTACCAAACAACAATAATCAAAACTCAACTCTTATGGCGGAAGTGGCTGTGTCATTAGTTATTGACCAACTTCTTCCACTCATAACGAAAGAAACCAAACTGTTGAGAGGTATTCACAAGGAGTTTGCAGACATTAAAGATGAACTTGAAAGCATTCAAGCGTTCCTTAAGGATGCTGATAAAAGATCTGCAACAACTGAAGGAATCAAAACATGGGTGAAGCAAGTTAGGGAAGCAGCTTTTCGCATTGAAGATATCATTGATGAATATATGATTCTGGTGGGACAGCAGCCTCTTCATCACGGCTTTCTATCTTTACTCCATAAGCTCAAAGCTATGATCTCTCGTCGTCGAATAGCGTCTGAGATTCAAGACATTAAGTCATATGTACGAGGGATCAAGGAAAGAAGTGAAAGATATGGCTTCCAACGTTCTCTTGAACAAGGACCAAGCAATTCTAGGGAAATCCGGAATTCTAAATGGCATGACCCTCGCTTGGCTGCTCTTTACATAGAAGAATCTGAAGTTGTGGGCTTTGAAGAGCCAAGGAAAAGATTGATTGGTTGGATGGTAAAGGGAAGGGATGAGCGCACTGTAGTTTCTGTGGTAGGAATGGGAGGGCAAGGAAAAACCACTCTTGCTAAGAAAGTTTTTGACAGCAAGGATGTAGTCCGCAACTTCGATTGTCGTGTTTGGATCACAGTCTCTCAATCATATACTGTTGAAGAGTTGTTGAAAGACACGCTGATAAAGTTTTGCAAAGCAACGGGAGACGATGCTCCTAGGGATATTTCTCAAATGGATCGAGGGTCATTGACTGAAGAAGTGCGAAAGTACTTGCAGCAAAAGAGATACATTGTTGTGTTTGATGATGTTTGGAGTGTACATTTTTGGGATGATATTGAATTTGCTGTAATTGATAATCAAAATGGAAGTAGGGTATTTATCACAACTAGGAACCAAAATGTTGCGGTTTCATGTAAAAAATCTTCTTTCATTGAGATGCTTGAATTGCAACCTCTAACTCAAGAACAATCTTTAGAGCTATTCAATAAGAAGGCATTCAAATTTGACTATGATGGGTGCTGTCCAAAAGAGCTTACAGGCATAGCCAATGAAATTGTTCAAAAATGTAATGGCTTACCACTAGCAATTGTAGCCATTGGTGGTCTTTTGTCTACAAGAGAGAAAAATGTGTTTGAGTGGCAGAGATTTAGAGAAAACCTGAGTTTAGAGCTAAAGAAAGATACAAATTTAATTGGGATAAAAGAAATTCTTGGTTTAAGCTATGATGATTTACCTTATTATCTCAAGTCATGCTTGTTGTATTTTGCAATATATCCAGAAGATTACGTGGTTAGATCAAAGAGTGTGATTCGTCACTGGATTGCGGAAGGGTTTGTGAAGGAGGAAAGAGGGAAGACATTGGAAGAAGTAGCAGAAGGATATTTAACGGAGCTGATCCATAGATGTTTGGTGCAAGTATCCTCGCTTAGATATGACGGTAAGGTTAAACGTTGTCGTGTTCATGATCTAATACATGAAATGATGCTTGAAATAAATGAGGATTTAAATTTTTGCAAGCATATTATTGATGATGGACAATCAAACTTAAGTGGAATTGTTCGACGCTTATGGGTAACTACCAAATCAAGAACGGGTCTTGATGATTTAAATTTGCATATTGAAAGGTTGCATCTTCGGTCATTGTATTATTTTAAAAGTGGTCGATTCTATCTCATGGATTATTTGAGAATCCCTACGAAATTCAGATTATTGAAGGTTCTTGATAGTGAAGGTGACGACTTAATGTATGGTCTTCATGAGGTTGGAAGTTTGATCCATTTGAAGTATTTAAAGCTCAATTATATTGGGAATACTAAACCTCCAAAATCCATTGGCATGCTCCAGAACTTAGAGACCTTAGATGCAAGACGTGCAAAGATTGAGCTGCCAAAGGAGATTAGCAAGCTTAGAAAGCTAAGACATCTTATCGGCTACCGGATATCTTTAGTTCATTTAAAGAATGGTATTGGAGAGATGACATCCCTACAAACGCTTCGTAATGTTGATTTAAATATGGATGGAGCTGCAGAGGTAATTAAAGAGTTAGGAAAGCTGAAACAGATGAGGGATTTGGGGTTGGTTAATGTTCATGAGGAAGTTGAAAGCATTCTGTCATCTTCAATCAATGAAATGCAACACTTGGAGAAACTAAATGTTGAATTACCTTTTCAAAGTGATAAATCCATTGGTTTGGATTTGATTTCCACACGAATGATGCTTCGAAAACTTTCACTTAATGGAATGTTAAAGAGGTTGCCAAAGTCTATTCCAATGCTTCAGAATCTTGTTGTGTTGAGGTTGAAGTGTTCCTATTTAACTAAAGATCCAATGCAATCCCTAAAAAGTTTGCAGCACTTGTTGATCCTCTCTCTGACCTACAGTGCCTTTGAAGGTTTATGTTTGCATTTTGAAGATGGAGGGTTTCAGAAACTAAAGGAACTGTATGTTGAGAATTTATCTGAATTGAGAGATATTATTATCGAAAAAGGAGCTCTTCCTTCTCTGAAAAAGCTTCAGTTACTCTGGCTTTTCAATCTCAAGAATTTACCCATAGGAATCCTACACCTAGAGAAGCTTGAAGTTCTCAATATTCAGGATACTAGATGTAAAATTGAGCAGAACATTTATACTGAGGATTTGAGTTGGATCACGGAGCATATGCCGAGTGTTAAAATTAATTGTTATGATAGTTAAGTCCATGGAGGTAGAAATAAAACTTTATCATACTCAGGAGGGAAACAAAGGTGTGCTCTTTATTCCTAAAACTTATTGTTCAGTGATCTAAATACTTTTGTTACATGATTTATTCCTGTGATTTGGTAGGTGTCGGGCTTCAACTTCAAATGCAATGGCAATTCAGATTCTCCACAGAGAGTTTTACTGCATCAATTTGGGAATTTTGTTCCTCAATAAACAAATTATAGGTTTGTTTGTGAATTGTAATGGTTGCTTTCAAGTAATTTAAGACTTTATTTTTCAGTTGATATTCCTTTCTTCATTTCTGCCTTCATCAATAATTGTTGCTTTTGATTTAAGATTTGAGTTGTATGTGATGTATTATGTATGCAATATGGCATGAGAGCTTTCCTTTTTCACAATTACACTTTATTATGCATCAATCAGTAAGTGTTGGTCTCAAAAATCTGTACATAATAATGAAGGCAGTTATGTTTCAAATCTAATTCAGCACTCAGTTTTGCATTCATAATGGCACCTTGTTTTAGTTGCCCAAAATCCAAGGACAAAACTAAAGAAAATCTAGATTTATAAATCAAACTTGAGCTTTTTTTTGTAATGTTATAAATTTATAATTGTAATGGTTGCTTTGTAGCACTTTAAGACATTATTTTTTTCTTGATTTTTCTATTGATCCACACCAGAAGAAAGTATCATTGAGTTCATTACTCTCTTTAGATTTGAGCTTTTTGTGGAAAAACTTTTTAAAATTATAAATTTATCTACAACAAAATTATTCAAAACCATATTAACTTAATAGTTGAATTTGATGAACTCCCGTTTCACTAGAAATCCAATTATATCCCTAAAATGTTTGCAAAATAATAGTAAAGTAAATCGAATGCTATCATTCATTAGATTGAGAATGAAAATCCAACTAGCTTATATAGATGCTAATGGTAGTTAGAGAAAGATAACAACCTAACACAATTTCTAACTAAACGAAAAAAAGAAATCAGATTACTTATGCAACAAGTGGAAGTCAATATCCAAATACTTGGTCTTTTCGTGGAAGACACGATTTCCTACTATATGTATAGCACTTTGACTATCACAATAAAACATAACTTGTCTGATGTAATCCTTCATGAGGAAAAGTATCCACTGCAATTCCATAGTAGCTGCGTCAAGAGCCATGTATTTGGCTGCAACTGAAGCACAAAATACAATACTTTGCTTCTTAGATTTATAAGAAATGAGAGAATCCTTAGATTTATAAAAAATGAGAGAATCACCCAAAAAAGAAACAGTGGCTGAAAATGGATTTTCAAGTTTCTAAGCATTGTCCCCAATCTACATCATTGAATCCCTGCAATTAGAGTGTTAAGTTTCTTGGGAAGAGAAAACCACAACCTAGAGCATTTTTCAAATACCTCAAAAATCAAAGAGCATCTTTGTGATGATTTTTAGTTGGTGATGACATGAAATAGCTCAATTGTTGTATGGAAAGGGAAATGTATGGTTTTCTTGTGGTAAGGTAGATTAGTTTACCAACCAATCTTCTATATGCACCAACATTCTCAAAATAAGGGCTATCATCACTACTTAACTTTAGTGCAGGATCAAGTGGTGCACTAGTTGGCTTCAAATTGACTATGTCTGAATATTCAAGTAACTCAAGAAAGTATTTTTTTTAGGAAATGGAAATGCCTCTTGATGACTAAGTAACTTCCAGCCCTAGGAAGAATTTCAGTTCTCATAGATTCTTGATGCAAAATGTTGAATGAAGAGCCTTCTGGAGGGATTCAAATTCTTCTAATTTGGGACCTTCCAACAGTATACCATCTACATACACTAACAATGCCAAGAATGTAGTGATGACTTGATAAAAAGTGTGTGGTCAGCTTGTCCTTAAATGAAACCTTGTTTAATAAGGAATGAAATCAGTTTGTTAATCAATTGCCTATTTGTCTGCTTCAAGCCATAGAGTGATTTTGTGAGTCTGCAAACGAAGTCTGGCTTAGGTGGTTGAAACCTTTATGGAATTTCCGTGCAGACAGCTTCATCGAGATATCCATGTAGGAAGATATTGTTTATATCTAATTGGTGTATAATCCCTTGTTTGATTGATACTGTTGTGAATCTTATTGTGAATTACGACAAAATTCAATATCAATTTGTGAGGCAAATAACAATAGCAACCAAAATAAATGATCTTCAGCAATAATATTCTGTATCCAGATAATATAACAGAATAAGGCAAGAAAAAACTGAATTTTGTTTACTTAGTTCGATCAAACGATCTACTCTGGGGGAGAGAGCAGCTCTCAAATTCACTATACTCAAATAGTTGTTACAAGAGATTACAAATGATTTACAATAAAATAGCCTTCGCCTTCAAGTTCCCAAGAACAACCCTGAAAGCACCCAAGAACAACCCTATTTCCTACCCTAGTGTTTCCCTATCTCTCCAACTCTCAATATATGAATCACTCAAACCCAAGGTGTAATCCAAGGTTTTCTTTTTGCATAGCTGAAACCCTATGTTATACCTTTAAACCCTTGGTCTCCCTTGTTAGTGAAAACTCTAAGATTGTCACACACCAAGCATATAAGAGATACATACTTATAATAGCAAATAACCAACAAACAAAGCCCAAAATAACATGGATCCATGGACCTAATAAAAAAAGCCTAAAAACTCGAAAATACTATTCACCGTACGAACAACACTATTCACTATACAGATGTCACTATTCATCCGTACGAATATCACTATTCATCATACGGACGACACTATTCACTGACCGATTTTTTTCCCGACTTTTCGTCCGATTTTTACGGTAAATGCAATCTCCAAAATATGTTTTATTTCTCTTCATCAACAAAGGCTTTAAGACACATTTACAACAATCTCCACCTTGACTTTAAACCGTGTTGATACCAATATAACAATCAACAACATTGCTGCTCTCTACTAAGTTGAAACTTTAATCAATAATTTTGATCAAATTCAAGCAACCCTTGAATCTTGATCTTGCAACTTGCATCCACTTGTTCTCAATTACCCTTTTTTGCCTAGGTAATCTAACAAGCCTACTAGTATGATTTTTGAACAACCCTTGACTCCACCAATTTTCAAATGCCTCCCTGCAAGTTTTTCTTCTTTTATTTTACAATCCTTCAGCCACATTAAAAACATAATATTCAAGGTTAGCATAACTGTCCCTTTGAGATGCTACAATAACCCTCCTTACCTTATCATAAGTCAAATGATAATCAGAGATCTCTGTAACCATTCTCTCACTACTGCTAGCATCCATAGTAGAAAACTCCAACTCAAACTGAGTTTTCTCCGTTATAGTAAAGTAAATCGAGTGCCATCATTCATTAGATTGAGAATGAAAATCCAACTAGCTTATATAAATGCTAGTGGTAGTTAGAGAAAGATAACAACCTAACAAACTTTCTAACTAGCCAAGAGAAGAAATCAGATTACTTATGCAACAAGTGGATGTCAATATTCAAATACTTGGGTTTTTCGTGGAAGACACGATTTGCTAGTATATGTATAACACTTTGACTATCACAATAAAGCATAACTTGTTTGATGCAATCCTTCATAAGAAAAAGTATCCACTGCAAATCCATGGTAGATACGTCAAGAGCCATGTATTTGGCTGCAGCTGAAGCACAAAATACAATACTTTGCTTCTTAAATTTATAAGAAATGAGAGAATCTTTATATTTATAAGAAATGAGAGAATCACCCAAAAAATAAACAATGACCGAAAATAAATCTCCAAGTGTCTAAGCATTGTCCCCAATCTACATCACTGAATTCTTGCAATTAGAGTGCTAAGTTTCTTGGAAAGAGAAAAACACAACCTAAAGCATTTTCAAATACCTCAAAATTCAAAGAGAATTTTTGTGATTGTTTTTAGTTGGTGATGACATAAAATGGCTCAATTTTTGTGTGGCATGAGAAATGTATGGTCTTCTTGTGCTAAGGTAGATTAGTCTACCAACCAATCTTCTATATGCACCAACATTTTCAAAATGAGGGTTATCATCTCTACATAACTTTAGTGCAGGATCAAGTGGTGCACTAGTTGGCTTCAAATTGACCATGTCTGAATATTCAAGTAACTCAAGAAAGTATTTTCTTTCGGAAGTGGAAATACCTCTTGATGACTAAGTAACTTCCAACCTTAAGAAGAACTTTAGTTCTCATGGGTTCTTGATGCAAAATGTTGAGTGAAAATCCTTTTAGATGGATTCGAATTCTTCTAATTCGGGACCTGCCAGCAGTATGCCATTCACATACATTAGCAATGCCAAGAATTTAGTAATGACTTGATAAAAAGTGTGTGGTCAGCTTGTCCTTGAATGAAACCTTGTTTAATAAGGAATGAAGTCAGTTTGTTAAACCATTGCCTATTTCTCTGCTTCAAGCCATAGAGTGATTTTGTAAGTCTGCAAACGAAGTCTAGCTTAGGTGATTGAAACTCTAATTGAAAATTCCGGCCAGCCCATGATGGATGTTCTAACAGAAGTTATAACATCCACTGTGACATTCACTACAGACCTACTATTATGCAGTAACTATAAAGCAGTAAATAACACAGTTGGTTGTTGACCCAATTCAGTGCAACACACTTACATCTGAGGGCTACCAAACCAGTGAGAAATTTCACTATCAGTAGAATCAATTCAGAGTCAAACCTCCAGTTTGCACTCCTCACTTAAAACCTACCTAATGACAATTTAACCTAGAGACACTCTTGACCTGAGTATACCCACTCGCTCCCTACAATCACACAACAGTGATATCAAACAGTTACCAATTTAACAGTAGAATGAAGAAACACTTCACCTACACACACACACCTTGATCTTGCTTCAAAGCTTTGATCAAGTGACACACACTCTTGCTTAAAAGCTTCAAGTGGTACACAGCCTAGAAACTACCTAACCAATGCAATCAACAGTTGCTTGGATTACAATTGTTCCTAAGA